CACTGATTAATACTGAATAAAAAAATTCAACTTTATCAAATTTCATATTTTTAAAATTATTGTTTCATATAATAATAGCATTGGTCCTATTAAACGTAGTTGGTGGGTGCATTGGCAAAACTAGGAGTACATTTTTTTTTTGTTTATGTGGTGGCTGGGGGTTGGGGGGTAATATGTGGTAAACCAGGTGTAATAGATATATTATGTCCAAAGTAAAATATGGGTGGGTGGGTGGTGGGTAGCTCATGAAGCTTGCTCCTGGAGTTTTGCAGACTCAAGCCGCCTCTGCTTAACTCAGTTAAAAATTATCATTAACTTGCCCAGGCTTGAATTTAATATTATATATCTAAATCATAATTATAGATAATTTTACATGATGTAAGTACTAAGTACCTAGTTTAGTAATATTATTAAAGATATTTAGGAATATTTAAATTAATCTTTATAATCATGGTAATAAATACTAAACAATAATAATAAACCACATTATTACAGAACAACTGAACAACTAATACTTTCTTATCAAAGCATTAACCACCGTTGTAAATATACACAAGTATATGTACCCGTGTATTTCATATTATGTTAATTAATATTGGTGATTTTTTGATTATAATGCCGAACAATCAACATGATGTAAATAATATGTAATTAGTTATTATGTATAGATGTCGAGTACACATAGATAGTGGTAACAGTTATACACTCGAAAAATAGGTTATCGGGCTCATTATAAAAATAAATTTCTCAATTATATTTTTGGCGAATATCGTTATCACCAACCTACCCACTATAACTGTAGGTATATAAGTAATATTATATTGCCTCATACAATTATTGAGCAATGCGAGCGAAATGTGCTGAACAATAGACATAATATATTGGACAACTGTTGAGTTAGACTTAAATTTGTCGTTTTGACGGCTGCAGTATTGAGAAACTGAAAATTTTAAATTACACAGAAATAATATGAAACATTCAGTCTAATATCACAACTGAATAAAGAAAACAAATAATATTGATTATTACAACTTTCAACTTAGATACAATATAATACCTACTTCCGAGTTACCTTTATATAACGTCATGGTGATTTGCAGCAAAACAAATTAGGTAACTTTTAATAGCCTATAACGGCCCATAAGATACTAAGATGTTTATACACTGTCGACTGTCGTATAATTCAATAATGAAAGAAAGGAATAGCTTTTTAGTAGTTTCTACACTACACTCTTATTTAAACATGTGAGAATGTGAGATACATAATAATGATATTCTGGTATTTTATACCGATCTTGTTTTATTCACATCCACTGTTGTTTGTGAAAGTATTATCAACTTTTGATTATTGAATGACAACATCGGTGTTATATTTTGTATCATAATTCATATTTCCTAATAAAAATTTTAAGTGTAAGTACCAATACAATATACATCTATATTCTATACCTAAAGGATACATTTATTGAATTAATGAGTTATATCAATAATATTTATAGGTACTATAATATAGTTTATTATATTATATAGTTAATGTTTAATGAATAGAAATATGTCAATTTGTTTAGTATTTACATTTTTACGAACAATACAAAGTAATAATTGGAATTTTATTAGATCATCGTTTTAAAAAAAAATATTTAAATAGGTAGTATATTATGTTATTTATAGATGATATATGAGAACCTACATATATATATTATAACAAACAAGTATTAATTAAGAAGGTACCATCTAACCTGCTAGCTATAAATTAAAAATATAATGTTTATATTTGTATCAAGTTCTAATAATACAATTGTAATTTATATAATGTGTATGTTTTTGAACTATGTTTACACTTTTATAGTTTGTATAATACTATATGGATTATACTGAATGAACAAACTACCTATTGCAAAATAAAACATTCATTAATATGTAAAGTTTTCTCTGTAAAGCGAACGATGACCTTAATTTATAAAAGTTATTTGTGTAGTAATGTTTTAAAAATATTTATTATGCAAACTTAAAATATCTTTAATCTTTATTTGAGTTGTTGACATTCGTTATTTTTAAACAATCATTCTCCTCTGTCTCTATGATATACTGATAAGTGATATTTATAAATGTAATTGTAAACACAAYGAGTAACTTCCTAACTAGAATAAACCATTATACCTAATCATTATTTCATATTTACTTAAAAATAATCTTGTTAATTAAATTTGTTTTTCTATTTGGATGGATCCAATCAACATTCAACATTTAAAATCTTATGATTCATTATAAGCTGTAAATTTATTACATTTTTAACATATTATTATTAACTGTACTGTACCCATTTTTAATGGAATGTCGGCGCTATATTTGTTTTCTTTCTTTGACCCACGAGCAAAATAGCAATTTTATGTTTACCAACCCTAACTGTGTCACTTATTATTTTAATATTAAAATATATTCCCCTAGTATCAAACTTTAAGCTTAGAACACTGTCTCTACGTTATTTTTAATATAATTTTAAATAATAATAAGTACAATTAAAATTTGCATTAAAATAATAGAAATATAGAAGTATCATTGATTATAAATATTATACCGGGTGATTTTTTTATCAT